AACTAAAACTTAAACTTAATAGGTACCTATAATACAGGTTGTTTTCTTTGTTTTCTGATTGAATGCCAATAATTAATTTTTGTGTCCATTTCAAAAAGAAAACTTCATATGAACGTATGTCCTAAACGTCTTAACTTTTCATATACAGGGTGGTAAAGTTTTCCAACATAAAATATATTTTTTTAATATCTGTAATACCACTTTAGATATTTTAATGAAATTTGCCACACATGTAGTATGTATGAAGAGGCATTATTTAGTGTACCATTTTTTTTTAATATACACCGGTGGCGGGCGTACGGAATTTCATTAAAATTATACGTACAATCTTCAATCATTCTAATTTTCTTCTATTTTTTTTTCTGAAAGACACTAGTTGGTAACTAAAAACTAGATATTCTGTTTTAGATAGATATTTTATTTTTTACACAAATAAATTCTCGCTTTAACCAGTGTTCATAGACAGTCAGTGGCACGCCACTGATTTCTTAAAAACAAATAATTAAAAATAACAACTAATTTATCTGCATGCTGTCATGTTAACGATATTGTTATGACCATGCACAGAAGGGGTTTTTTATTTTTTAAGCGAAAACCATACATCGAATTAAAAAGAAAAACAATAAATTAAATCTTTTTAGAAATGATTGGAAACTGTAAGAATAATTTTTATTCTAAGGGAAATCAGTGGCTGCCAAAATGGACCGGTGAAATTCCGTACGCCCGCCACTGGTGTATTTTACACTAATTAAAATCTCTTGATGTACCGGGTGACACAAGAAAGTGGGACGGCTTGAGATAGCGATTTGAAATTTTGAAGGATTAATATAGACTGAATGTCCAATTTTTCGACAATATGTAGTCGATGTATCTATATTTTTTGCATTTTTGGATTCAGATCATTCTACGTAGGATAGGACGGTTTTTCCCCTTTTTTTGTTTTTTTAAATTTTTATTTAATTTTTGAAATTTTTGTTTAGGAGGCTGTGACCATCATAAATACTATTTACCAGGTCACCTTATCATTTTTTTCCTTCCTGTGAGCTTATTTTTTAACGCAATTTAAAAATTTTGGTGTCAAAATGTTTCAAAAAAGTATCGGTTTAAAGAAGTTTTTGTTTCCACTAGGGTGCTATTTGAAAAAAGAAGGTTATCTTAAGAAATTAATAGTTCATCACATTAAATGCTATTTGCCATTAGACAATAAAAGTTTCATTTACAATTTTTCATATGATCAGGTGACCCGGTAAATAATATTGATGATGGTCACAGCTAGACACAACTTTCAAAAATGAAATAAAAATTTAAAAAAACAAAAAAAAAAAGAGAAAAACCCTTCTATTCTACGTAGAATGATCTCCTGAATTCAAAAATTCAAAAAAAATATAGGTTGTGCCTTTTAAAATTCGAAAGTTAATGTCGTTCCCGCTCAAACCGGAAGTGTAACCATTGACAACATATTGTCAAAAAATTGGACACTCAGCCTATATTAACCGTTCCAAATTTAAAATCGCCCTGTCAAGCCTTTTAAAAGTTATAGAGCGTTCTCACTTTCTTGTGTCCCCTGGTATAGTACATGCTCGCCAAATTCTATTAAAATATCTAAAGTGGTATTACAGATATCAAAAAAACGTAATTTATTTTTGAAAACTTTACCACCTTTTATCTCAAATTTAAGACGTTTAGTACATATGTTCATATGAAGTTTTCTTATTAACATGGACCCAAAAATCGCCTAATTAATTATTGATATTCTAATAGAAAACACTTTGTATAGCCACCAATCCTAAAATGTTTTGGTCATTTTTTATAATAATAAAATATTTCAGTCGTAAGTTATTTTTATTTGAAAAGAAAATTAAAGAACTAGAAAACTTAGGATGTAGACCTTCCTTGCTGGTTGACAATTTCATTTTGTCTTCGAACCCACAGCAAAAACCTTATGAGATGAGGTTTTCACCAAACTTAGATAATAACTGTCTCTCTCTTTTCAACTAGCCATTTTTATTGTAATGTTTACATCGTACCCGTAATCGATTTTTATGGTAATCGCTCATTTCTATTTGCATGTTTTTTAATAATGATTGCGTATTGTGTATATTTATTGTTTTTTTAAATATTTTTATTAAACTTTAACCTGTTAGAGCTAATAAATTAATATTCCATTATAACTTTAATTTCAAATTATCAAAAGTGGATAGTGGAAGTCATACCCTTGACATTTTATATTAAAATACAAAAAAAATTTGAAGACAAGTAAATTTACAATTTTCGTTTTTTTAAGTGAGTTATTCTGGGATGCTTTTAAATGTTAAGAATGATATGAATTTCGCCTAATACTTCTCCTAAGCTTGAGTCAAAAATGTTACATCTCCTTAGAGCGTAAATCACTTCTTAACATTTTTTCTACAGCGAATTTTAGCCAATAACCAAAAGTAATCAAAATATTAGCTATAGAATTATACCACAATCAAAATTTGCCTTTTTGGTTTTATTTGCTAATTCCTAGCTTTAAGTAGTCTGATATGGAGATGGCATTAGCTAGACCTCGCCTGTTAATTAAGTTAATTGGGCTGTAATTTTATGTTTTTTTCGAAAAATGTTTATGATTTATTGTTATTATTACTATTATTATGGAATTTGTGACGGTTTAGAGAAATTATCCTATTCTCCCTTAATTTCATTATTACAGAGCACTCCGGCAACTCTGTAAAGTTTTTTACGCCGTCTCGTCATGTTTTTCCTATTCGCAGGTGGAATTATGTTTACATTTAATTAAAATAATTATTGATCTAAAAGGTTGGCGCACTATAAGTCAATAAAATGGCGATAGGTCTCGGCAACAATTACGAATATGTTATTAAATAATTGTAAGACACGCACTCGTCTCGTTTAGGAAATCGGGATCCACCCCTCCGCCAGCGGTTGCGCAACGAAAGTTCGCAACTTGCCTAGAGGATTTTATGGTTTTTACTTTTGGACATTTTATACAATAATTACAAGCAAGCATGAAGTTATTAATTTATTCTTTCAGTCAACAACAAGCACACGACTAATTTGTAAGTTGATAGCCGGTTATCTTTTTTATTTACATCTTGGTCGGTTTACATTTTTCCTAACTAAAAGAAAGGAATAATGCTGGTGCTTTCAATGCACTCCATTAATTAAAATTATTGTTAAATTAATAAATGTACTGCACTAAATTGCATTAGAAACCAAAATTTTCCAATTTTAATTTTGGTAACATTTTCATAAATAATATATATATATATATATATATATATATATATATATATATATATATATATATGATATATATATATATATATATATATATATATATATATATATATATATATATATATATATATATATATATATATATATATATATATATATATATATATATATATATATATATATATATATATATATATATATATATATATATATATATATATATATATATATATATATATATATATATATATATATATATATATATATATATATATATATATATATATATATATATATATATATATATCTGTAGCTACTGTAAGTTTTGGTTAGTAAAAACGTTAAACGTCGACAGAGAAGCCAGCAGACCTAAATTTGTTTATAATAAATTATATACAGGGTGAGCAATTTAGGCTGTTTTTCTTAACAGCAAAAATGATTATTTTCAAAAATGTCCAATGTATATAATTGTTCAACGCATGTTATATATCTAAACTAATAATAATAATAATAATAATAATAATAATAATAATAATAATAATAATATTTGGAAACGACTGTGGGTCACACATGCGTACCTAGCCGAGCATTTCTCCAAAATAGTGTCTGATCCAGAGTTACTACCGTCATTCTTTACAACAGCCATAACTCATCTTATCCCTAAGGACACAACGAAAATCAATGATCCGTCCAAGTACAGACCAATAGCATGCCTCCCCACTATATACAAAATACTCACGGCATGCATCTCTAACAAAATCTACAACCACCTAGACAGAAATAGTTTGATCGCTGAAGAACAGAAAGGGTGCATTAGAAAAGCGTATGGCTGTAAAGAACAACTAGTCATCGACTCAGTCATATCAAACCAGGCAATAAAAAGCAATAGAATTATTCACATGGCTTACATCGACTATCAAAAAGCATTTGACTCTGTGCCACATTCCTGGTTGAAATATGTACTGAAACTCTATGGTATCCACCCCCAAATACTGACGTTTCTTGGTCTTTGCATGAAAAAGTGGAATACTGACCTAACACCCCACCATCAAGGGAAGTCGCTGATTGTACCGAGGATGAGGATTAAAAAAGGAATTTTCCAGGGCGACAGTCTGAGCGCTTTATGGTTCGTCATGTCAATAAACCCTCTCAGCCTGCTTCTGAATAACAGCCGATACGGCTTCGAATTAAAGACTCCTAATAGATCCCATAGGTTAAGCCACTTGCTCTATATGGATGATCTCAAACTTTACGCATCTTCAAAACAACAACTTTCAAGTATGATCCGGATAGTGGAAATGTTTAGCACGGATATCCGAATGAAGTTTGGTTTGGATAAATGTAGAACTATCCATATAAACAAGGGAAAGTTTTCTAACGTGGTGAACATACAAGAATCAGAGATTCAAAACATGCAAGAGACGGATCTTTACAAGTATCTTGGAATTGAGCAGGCGCGAAATATTGATCATGTTGGCACTCGAGAAAAACTCGAGTAGATAGTGTACGAAAGAACGCGCAAAATAGCCAACAGTTGTATAAATGGTCGAAATATGAGCAAGGCACTTAATACCTTTGTTATTCCAGTACTGACCTACTCTTTCGGCATTATAAAATGGTCAAAAACCAGCATCAAGCTAATAGAAAGCAAAATGCGTTCAATATATAGAAAACACGGTCACCTCCATCCCAACTCGTGCCGTGAGAGATGGACTCTTCCAAGAAGTGAAGGGGGAAGAGGAGTAATACACCTACTCAATATGCACAATAAACATGTGAACAAGCTACGAGAGTATTTCTACAATAAAGATGCTGCACTACATAAAACCGTAATAGAGGCAGATAAAAAATACACTCCATTAAACATGGCAGATAGAAACGCAGTATTTCAAATTGAAATAAACGATGAAATCTTGCATCAATGGGCTCAGAAGGCGGTCCACGGCGGGCATTTTTCCGACCTGCATCAGGAAGATGTTGACATTAAAGCGTCAAACAAATGGCTGAGCAACGGAGACTTGTACGCCGAGACCGAAGGCTACCTGCTGGCTATTCAGGATAGAGTACTACCAACAAGAAATTATAAAAAATATATCCTTAATACCCCTCACACAGAAGATAAGTGCAGAAGATGTGGCCAAAATGGAGAAACTATTGAACACATACTAAACGTTTGTTCAACTTTAGCACCCACAAAATACACAATAAGGCACGATAATGTAGCAAAAATAGTTCACCAAAACCTTGCAGTTAAACATCACCTTCTTGAACAAAAGTGTCCTTACTTTAAATATTCACCTGAAGCTGTTCTGGAGTCAAATACCCATAAACTGATGTGGAACAGATCTATCATAACAGACAAAGCAATTCAACATAATAGGCCAGATATAATACTCACTATTAAAAATGAAATGATAACCTACTTAATCGATATCGCAGTACCTTGGAACAGAAATCTTTCAAATACTCACAACCGTAAAATACAAAAATACTCTGAGCTTGCTAGCGAGATCAAAAGAGTTTGGCGCCAACGGGAGGTTCATACAATACCAGTGGTCCTATCTTCTACAGGACTAATACCCAAAAAACTTCATAAGTCACTTCAGTCTCTCGGCCTTCAACAATATCTCTATATGGAACTACAAAAAGCCAGCATACTACAGACTTGCCACCTGGTCAGAAATTTCTTACAGTAGGAGGAGTATTTGTCTCAGACCGTACCTTCTTACTAAAAATAAAAACCGACAAAGTCGAGCTAAGGAATATAATAATAATAATAATAATAATAATAATAATAATAATAATAATAATAATAATAATAATAATAATAATAATAATGATAATAATAATAATAATAATAACAATAATAAATCCTGTTATTACCAATTATTGTGAATAATAATAATCAAATAACTATGTAAAAAGTATTTTTTCATAACCCTTACAGTTTAGCAACATCTCTTACAGACAGCGCATTAGGTAGAAATGGAAACCATAAACACTTTAAACATATTAATAATCAAATGAACTTACGGAGGCAAATTGCAACAAAGGTTGAAAAAATTATATGCTAACGACGAAGAATGAACCGGTATTAGAAAGTTAAACATAAATATAAAAATAAAAAAAATAATAAATTAGAATTAAAATTAAAAGTGGATTACTAAAATTATAAAGGTAATTCAAATCAATGAACTTAGATGCAGGCAATGTAGCTTTAAATTTTCTAGAAAAATAAATAAATACAAAACAACTGATCCACAAAGCAACTTGTACGAAGTATTATCTTTTATGTTTTAGTCATTCTCAAGAGGCAGAAGAGTTTTGGAAAACAACAATCTCCAATTCCAAATTTAAGGTTCGGTAAGCTATGGCACCATTTCATTAAGGTATCGAATAAGATAAATAAAATATATTTATTTTAAATTACTAATAACAATAATTCTAAACCAAAAATTTAGTTTTTATTGCTATTGGTAACAACTGCCAGGGTCATACGACCAATACATTTATGTTAGGGTTTCTAAAACTTTTTCCTTGTTTAATTACAAATGTAAGGGACCACTTTCCGTGAACCTGGTTAATTTTGATATACTGATACTTCGATCAAAAGTTAAGGAATTTTAATACAGAATATTTGAAACTGAAAGAATGTGGGTGGAGAGACGAAATTTTTAAAGGAATTGATACCCGGGCATTAACGATTGCGTTAACCTATTTTCGCTACGGTTTATCCCGTTTTGTCAAAGCTCTAAATCATTTAATCCCTCTTTTTCGCGACCCCTTTGTTTTTAAAACTCGAAAAATATGTCACCGCGTAATAAATCGCCGCTATTTATCGGGAAGAACCCGGGTAACGAAAAAATACGTCGAAAAACAATATTTTTCCGAATCTCTGCACTGACGGAACGTCATAAACAAAAAAACACAATAACCCGCCGCCGGGGGTGTAAAAAAACATCCTAAGTGAGCTTTATCGATCTATGAGGATCTTTATTTACTTAGGGGAAGTTGTTTTCAATATAGCCTTTAGTTGTTGGTACGTAAACAAAACAATAAAACTGGTGCCTGTGTCGTCTGTCCCTTTTACACGCCCATCAAGACCATTTCTCTTGTTTCATAACACAATTCTGATATGGCGTCTAGCAGCGGGACGTTTCGCTCAAAATGAATGGTTTGTGCTCGAAAAATTTATTGAACATATGTACGGGGTGTTCCGCATTAGTATGTCAATACTGAATCATTTCAATGAAATAATTTTTTTTTATTATTCCGGATATCCTTGTAAAATTTGGTAAGTACACTCTGTGAGATATTTTCGACATGTTTTTTTAGCTGAATAATGCCCTTATTTCGTTTATTGATAGCGGCGTTCCGACAGTTTTGTTGGAACAATAAATAAAATAATAATTATATAAGTTATAATAATTATAAAAATATTCAGATAATTGAGACATTATTCTAAGATCAAATAAATAAAAACCTATTAGAAATGACAATAATATGAAAATAGAAACATTGTAGTAAATATTATTATTTATAAAAGACTATTACTCATAACACAACTTCCTTTGCAAAATTTAGTCATGTTCTCAGCTTTACATATTCTTCAATTCCTTTCACATATTCTTAACATTTACTCCATTTTTCACTGTATACTCTCTTTATTCCCCGTTGCAACAGGGTTTCAAAGTCCTGCCCTGCTACGAACCATTTTACTTACTGCCATACCACTTCTGTGGCGTTTAATTCACAGTGAATATGATGCGATTTCGTCGACAACAAATTTCGTACAAAGTGCAAAGTACAAATTAGTAGTAGCAGTAGCTCCTCAGAAATTGCTTTTAATTTAAGGTAAGTCAATGAATGATGCCATTTTTTCCCAAGAAATAGGTAGTAATTTGGTTACCCTTGACTACACTGACATTATTTTTTAAGGCCTATGGTGCGTAATAAAAAAAAACCGAAATGGGACTTCGCACCTTTAACAGACGCCATTGTTACTCCTTTATACCGTAATCGTTTGACTACCGGTAAGCAGAAACCAAACTATTGCATCCATTCGCGTTTGCAATCATCAGAAAATATCAAAGTCACGTTTCAAATGAAAATTGCCTATTAGGAATAACAATATACAAAAATGACACAAAAGTAAAGTAGGAGTGAGTGGAGCAATGAACTCGGCAGTAAGTAGGCGCAGCTGTCATTAGATGTTGCAAATCTTATTTAGCTATACTCGGCGCGACGAATCTCTCGCTGCTCGCATGAGATCGCTAGTTACGTAATATACTCTAAAATCGTCGAACAGAAACTTTTCTGGTGATCCATTTTTTTTTTATTAACAAAGTTTTTTTTTAATTATTGATTTTTATTTTACTGATTTTGCTTTTGTTTTTATAGAGAATTGATCCCAAAATGGCAGACATTTTCAAACTTCACCCAACTTTAAAGCGATCTAATAGTTTTACTTTTCAGTCAAATCTGTTAAAACTGTGTAAGGTGTGTTGTTAAGGTGTACTTTTAAAATATATATTTTTAATAATGCGCAAATATCACATTTTATTGTGAGTGTCAAACGAGCGGCGGTAAAATATCTGTTAAAATGGTCAACTAAAACGTTTTCGTAGACATTTAAAATACTCAACCAAAACAGTGGTGCTTAATTGAGAATGATTTTTTTGGAAGAAAATTGTATAAAAACGAAAACTTAATATACTCAATAAACTTACCAAAATCCACCTATCAAAAATTAGTAGATAAATCTTAACCTATTTATCTCACTTAACTTAAATCAACTGCAAGTAAAGCATCTAATTGATGCCGTTGTTCCTTAATAGCCTAAATATCTCAATCTAGACCAGATTATTATTGAAGACCATTTTGGCTTCCGCATAATTCACTCAAAATTGATAAGAAACCTTTATAATAATAATACGTAGTAATAGAACGAAGAAGAAACAGTTTCTATAAAAAAAACTACACGGATTGTCAATTGGTAGAATCTTAGTATAACTCTCTCTCACACTGTCATACTTCTTCATCCATTGTGTCCTATATGCGCATTGGCTGACATTGATCACGTGATACACAATGGACAACCGTAATAATTGGAGTTAATTTATTTATTGAGATTCCCATATGTTGGACATTTTCGATTTCCTAAATTATAGCTAATTCAAGGATTTAATGGTTTTGTTCTCATTTCGTAGAAAGACATTTGAGATATTTGATATATTCAGAAGTGCCCCAGAGGTTCGATTAGGAAATCTCTGTCTTCCCCATTGCCACACATTACCACCCTTTAGTTGTCTCATTTTTGTCTCAAGTTTTATTATTGTGTTTTAACCTACGGAAAGTAGAAATATCTATAGTTTTTTCGGTATTGTATCCTGTATAATTTACTTGCAGAATTTTGCAAAGAAGCTGTAGCTAAAACCAGATTTTTTTTATTAACAATTTGTTTTTAATTATTGATTTTGCTTTTGTTTTATAGAGAATTGATCCCAAAATGGCAGACACTTTCAAACTTTACCAAACTTTGAAACGATGTAATAGTTTTACTTTTCTGTCAAAACTGTCAAAAACTTTGTAAAGTATCGATATCGATGGATATTTTTACCTCGAGCGTCTTATTATTAGTCATTGCTAGTCGCAATTGTTGACACTTGTTAAAGTGAACCTTTCCATAAAATATGTATTTTTAAGAATGCGCAAATATCACATTGTATTGTGAGTGTCAAAGCTGCGGTAAAATATCTGTTAAAATGGTCAGCTTTTGTAGACATTTAAAAGCTCAACCAAATCAGTGGTGCTTAATTTCAAATATATTATTTATATAAATAAGTTGAGCCAAATATAGACAAGTAGCTGTAATTTTTTGGTTGTCGTATCTAGCAATATATGTTCCACATTAAAGTAGACTAAAAATTGAGAAATAACGTCAACCATTATGCGATTAGACATGATGCATTAATTAGTTTGTTGCACGAGTAATTTTGTATACAGCTCAAAACGCTTTTCCTACATATGAGCTGTATTGAGCATTTTTAATCTTCCGTATAACCGCATGGTCGTTAATTCATCAAAAATTTTAATGGCAATTGTACTCTAGAAGGTCAACCGGTGCCCCAGAAAATTATATTGCGAAATTGAAGACTCGATGTGCCGAGTATAGACACTTTTTGTCCTACGAGAGCTAATAAGTTGCGTCTAATGAGACAGTCTCTGTCCCTCTCTCCATTGCAGATGTTTAAATTGTGCATAAATTCGTGAAAACAATGCCAAAGGAAAAGTTCACCGAGCTGGAATCGAACAAATTGGCTTTTCTTTTAGGTTCTACATCCGAGAGGGATACGTACTTGGCTAATTGCTTGTTGGCGAGATTTTTTTTCGCCTAACCACTTCCGACAGCTCGTCACTTTCGGAGGAAGTGGAACGAGATTATTTGTTAAAGGTCATTTTAACAAAAAATCGCCATTAAACGCTGGTCGTTGTCATACGCTTTGTAATAAACAAAATCAAAATAAACAACAACCTCCAACAAAATGAACACTTACAAAAAATCCAAACAATTTGCGGGCGCTTTTATTAAGGAATTTGACTTAGTCGGCGCGACCTTGTAATTGGATATAGGTTAATGTCAAATCAACTATAAATAAGCAAAGAAAAGTGATAAATAACTTTTTTCTCAAGTTAAATAACATTTTGAAATAACCAATATGTTTACACAATAATAGAAAATTATTAACTTCAGTGACTCTGAAGATTGTGCAAAAAATAAATGACGTTTCATATGAACAGAAGTCTAGATTTAAAGTTCTAAACAAATATGTGTGATAATGATATAACTTCAATACGCTCCTAGAAGTAGAGCATTAAAGTGAAGTACCTGGAATGTTTGTATACTTTGCTGAACTTGTGTTCTATTACATTGATAGTGGAAACTCCAAATGCTTACAGCTCGATCTATATTTCATTCTGTGAGATTTATTTGCAAAATATTACATATTTTAAACAAAAATTCCATATAAAACCTCGTTGTAATAGGTTTAACCAAATACCGACAAGCTGATAAACCTGTTCGTTTTAGTTCTAGTATATTAAATAAGAGGAAGGATCCCCATCTATCTGTTCAAAACTCCCGCTTAGAACTTATTTTCAGAAATTTTATTCTTATTTAAAATTGTCTGCGCCAGTAGCCAACAACACAGCCCAAAATTAAAATCTTACCACATAGAGAGTAAAAATTAAAATAGAACCCGGAGAGACTATGCGCGTAGTTATTTTTCAATGACCTAAGCGTCTCTCTCTTTTGATGGGCGTGTCTGGTTAATTTACCCCCAAATATTATAATCGCGTTTAAT